CAAACTGGTGCACTGGCCTTCGACTAACACGATGTTGACGGAACCCTCAAACTCTTTGAAGCTGACTTTCATTGTAGCTTCGCCTTTAACCGCTACGCAGGAATTTTGAAAGTCTGTCAGCACCAGGTTTGATGGCTTGAGTTTGACTCGTTTCCCACCTTGTCTGCGGACGTAATTAAAAGTTTTGTAGGAGATTATGGACAGGGCTGACCCGGTGTCCAGTTCCATCGAACACGGAACCCCTTGTAACCTGACCCTGAGTCTTAGCTTTTCTTTGAGAGGGCAATGGGCTCCTGTTCTAAAAATGTTCCTCCTCCCAGAGCAGTATCCGACCCTGTTTTGCCCCGGGGCCCATTTACCTCTTCTGGGAATGTCCTCGGGTTGAGCTTCCCTCTGGCGACCTTTACAAACGATGGCAATGTGCCCCTGTTTGCTACAGGCTCGACTCACTGCTGTGCGGAACCTGCACTCCGATTGCCGGTGCTGTTCTCCGCAGCCAGCACAGCTAGGGAAGAAGACTGCCTTGTCAGATGGCCACTGTCTTCTTCTTGGTAGCTTCTGCACCCAGTCAATCTCATCATCTTCGTCCGGGTTGTCTGTTCTATCTGTGTCTTCGTGGTGAACAGCTGTCTGGCTGGGGGGAGCCTTTGGAGGTCATAAAGCCTTCATTGCTCCACCAGCGGCCTCTTCTGCCATGATCTCTTTTAATGCATCCTGGAACGTGAAGGCTTCCTTTGCAAACAGCCTCTGCTGTAAGCCTCTGTTTCTCAGGCCACATACGAGTCGGTCCCTGAGCCGATCCTCTAAATCTGGGAATTCACAGAGCGTGGACGCCTGCCTTAGGGCAGCCATGAATTCAGCTGCTGACTCCCTAGGCTGTTGTGCTCTTTGTTTGAATGCATGCCACCAAGCAATGACGGACAGCCGGGGTTCAAAATGTTCTTTTAGCCTCCTCTTCAAATCAGCATAGGTGACTGATTCTAAGCTGGCTGGGGCTATCAGGTTCTCCGCGATGTCGAAGGTTGCCTGCCCGCACACGCATAGCAGGGTAGCAGCCTTCAGTCCATCTTCTCTCACCTGGTTGACCCGCAGGTAATTCTCCACCCTGGAGACGTAGGAGCTCCATTGTTCAGGGTGAGAAACATCAAATTCGTTCAGCTTGCCCACTTTGGTCATAGCTGACACTCACAAGGTCTTGATTGAATGCCTTATACTGCTAAGGAGCTGCTGTGTGAATCCTGGGGATGGATCCCTCAGGATGACTGTGCCTCCAGTGTGGCTTACTGGCAGGCAGGGTGGGGACGTGGTCCCTACCAGGGCTCTTGTGCCTGGTCTCATACCCAAGTGACTTCTGGTTCAAGTGCTTCAGCTCTCTCTTTCCTTAGCAGCATCCCACCTTCATCGCCACTGTTAAATACTGAGTTCAATGAGGCAGTGATCAGACGGAAGGTTAAAGCAACAGCTCTTTATTGAATGAACACAGAAGTAAGTCTAACAGCCACTCGGCTTCTATTTATACCGGACTGCCACTAGGCAGCAGCCAATGAATTTTAAAGTGCAGGCTTGTAACTAACATACAAACAGTTAGAGACTTGATTTAAACATATTCAGCTAACAGCTTGTAACTGCCCTTAGTAATTGGGTCAATACACAACAAACAATATCTCTTTTCTCAGTAATTCTCAGTAATTTGATTAAGTGGGAGAAATGTGAGATAAACTGAACAGATAGATAGAAATTGTATCCAATGGAGCAAAAACTTATTTCTCTTCAGGCAATATTGGTTGATCATTTAATAAAAATGTTTTGCTATTTGTCTTTTTAAGTATGTGCAATTACGTTTCCCAATATTCCAAATGTCAGATAGCAGCATAAAATTCACAGAATGTAATATCAAACAGATCTTTGTTGTGTTTCTCTCATTGTTCCTTTTCTAAGGATTTTAATCAATTGTCAAAATGACAATTCTAACAACAAATTAAAAGTCAGTGTATACATTTCATTGTTAAAAGGTACAGGTGATTCTCCTAGTTTGAAATTACAACATAACTGGTGAATGACTGGTGAATGAATAAGTTATTGGCCATCCCAGCTCCCTCATGATCATGATCTGGCCACTTGGTAACCAATATGCAGCATCCTGTAGTCACATGATTGTGATTGCTACCTTCCCTGCTGGCAGGGAAGATCACAAGTTGTGCCAGTATGTCTTCCCCACTCACACACCCTCTCAGAGCCATGCTGGCACTCACACTACATATCCCTGGCCACTCACCACTGTCTCTGGCCACTCACAGACCTTTGGGCACCTTCCCTCAGCAAAAGCAATCACCCTAAGCCCTCCCTTATTTGCTTCTCTCACCTGGCAGTAGCCATCCCTAGCCCCATCATGCTCACACCATGCCTTTCTGCCATTTCTGCTGCCTCACACACCCTTTTCCACTCAGCAGTCACTATCCCAAGCCCCACTGGGCTTGCACCACATTATGCTGGCCATTTGCGCAGCCCCTCACTGCCTCCCCCACCCTGTAGCAGCCAGTCTTCTGCCTGCCAGTCTTCTTGCAAGCCATCTGGGATAATTTTCTGTTCACTTCCCCCCTGATTTTGCTTATTGGAAACCAGCAGGAAGTTGCAAAGAGGTGCTTGTTTAAAGACCCACAATCCTCACTTAATATTGGCAATCAGGCTGTAGGAATTGCCATTGCTAAGCAATGAGATCACATGATGTCATGTTTTATGACTGTATCACTTAGCAGTGGAAATTCTGGTTCCAAGTGCCATCATAACTCAAGGACTCACTATATAGAAAAAAACCCTTTATGGCTAAATGTATTTGCTATTTATAGTAGTTCCTGAGATTTCATATTTCTTTTACAGAGAGCTTATTTTTTGAAAAATGCTATATTATATATTGTGCTGGCCTGTAACTGTAATAAAGGCTGAATTGAATTGAATATTATATATTCTGTGCAAACCGAAGCCAGCAAGTAAAGAAAGTGAAAAAAGTTAGTGGTCTAAAACCAAAATCTTTATTTCTCATCACAGTGTAAATTAAAAAAAAATATTTATAGTTTCATAAGGTCATAATCAAAAGATAGTTCTTGGTAATGATGTGCTAGAGGAATTATGTCCCAAACGTCAAAGCCATTTTCTAAGCTATAAAGAGAACGTCTCACTACTTTTCAAATATAGCCAAAAGCTGCTTGTGGATTCTATAGATGTTTTCTAAAATTCAAAGAGGTCAATTATTTTAACCATAGGTTGTGAACTCTTCTCTCATCACATCAGGAAAGCCTTATTATTGACACAGTAAAATGTTTGAGTGTAATCTTTAATTAACAGTGATGGTATTTGAAAAAATGTGTTACAAATGATTTCAAAAGTTGTTTTTTTTCTTTCTCCAACATCTAGCATTCTCGTTAATTATACTATAGGATGAAAAATAATGTCATGTTTTCTTTCTCTTTTGGAGTGAGACATCATTAAAATGTAACAATTAATAATTTTCACAATTTTGGGGATTTTTTTGAGACAGCTAACAGGCATGTGGATGAGGGTCACCCTGTTGACATTGTATATTTGGATTTTCAAAAAGCCTTTGATGAAACTACTCATTGAGGACTCATGAATAAACTTAGTATTTATGGGATAAATTATTATTTTACAGACTACAACTTGTTAAAAAAATAAAGAAAAGGAATCAATAATGTTCTTTAAAAAATAATAGATTACCATGTTGGAAACAATGCGTTTTTTATAAATTATCTTAATCTAAGGCAGAGGTCCCCAACCTTTTGGGCACCAGGGACCGGTTCTGTGGAGAGAGGTTTTTCCACGGACTGGAGGGTACATGATTTTGTGTGCTGCCTGCATCCCACAGATGGGGCTTTGCTTGTTTGTGCGGACTAGTTGCTGGCATGCCACAGCCCAATACTGGTCCACGGACCGGGGGTTGGGGACCCCTGATCTAGGTGTTAGTAAATACTGAGGGTCAAATTTGCAGCTGACCCTAAACTATTCAGAATGATAAAAACCAAATTAATTAAAGAGAACTTCATAGGGCCCCTTTTGAACTGGATAGTCAACCAAATAATACATGAGATTCAATTTTAAATAAGTATCAATGATACCCATTGGGGCAACAATCCCCTGCTTCACATATATGCATTGGTGCAATTCCTCATCTATTTGTTATTGCACAATAAAAGAAATATATGTTGTGATGTATAAAGACACATAGGGTGAATAAAGAGACAAATTCCATGTTAGGGTACATTCAAAAAAGGATTGATAATAAAACCATCAACACTGTAATAGTCTTATGCAAATCTCTGGTAGGTCAATTTGTGGGATATAGATACAATTTGTTAGCCATATTTTAAAAAGTATATAATAGAAGAAATGTGGAAGGGAGGAAATGAAATGATTAGGGGCCTTAAACATGTCCTTCTCAAGAAACAGCTCAAATGTTTGGAATTATTTAGTCTAGAATAAATCTGTACAACATATGGGCCTGCTCAACTCAAAAAATAAATCCACTGCCATCAAATGCTTCCACCATCAGGAAGGATCTGCCATGTTGCCATCCTAAGATACCCTGCCAATCACCAATGGAGTATCTCCAATGCCTCCAGGCTCCACTGACACTGCCAGTCCATCACTGCAGTCTCACCATTAATCATCAAACAGCTGATTGGGACACCAACCATTTCTTTGGGGCTTGCCATTATTTTTAATTTCCCTCTACAAGTTGTCTAGAAGAAAGGCAACTAAAGGAACACATTATCAAAGTATATAAAATCATGTAAAATATGGAAAAAGTGGACATGATTTTCCTACCTTCTCTCTATTTGTTCAGAAGTAAATGACACAATGTTGAGTACACAGAGCTGAACTTCTAGTTGTATTTTTCTCATCAAAATAAGACTCTGAAGTAAAAAAATAGAGAAACATTATTAGAATAAATATATTTATTATATATTTTTATACATTGTATTTTCATGCAGGCTGAATTTTTTTATGAATTCCTCTCTTTGCACTCTCTGGATAAAGGCATAATGGCTGACCCAACGGTAAACATCCCTCTACTTGGAATGATACCTCACCAAGTCTCAGGTCTGTAGCATCCATCTTTATTTATGCATCCAGTGTTGTTCAAGTAAAGGAAGAGTGAAGCGAAGTATTGAACCCACATGTTGTTGGTGTGTGTGTGTGTGTGTGTGTGTGCCATTAAAGATCAAAAATGCTATGTTAACTGTGAGGATTTTTAAAAATACTGATTTGTTGATGACTTTGAGCCAGTCATTCTCTTGCAACCCAACCCATCTCACCAGGTGGTATTGTGGGGAATATAGCAGGCAGGAGTAGTAGGTAGATTTATGCCAAGCACCACGGAAATCAGGAGATCCAGGCAGTTCAAATGGGTATAAAGATTTATTGCAAGCTTAAGCTTTCTACAAAAATCTGAACTGGGTATCAGCCCAAGCAAGCTGGTGGTAGAAAAGAGTCACAGGAATTCAAGGTGGGTTGGACCTAGATCTCTTGTGGATGCTAAGGGACTCATGACTGATGATATGTTTGACCCCTCTCTCAGGCTGAGCCTGATCATCTCGTACAGTTTATTCCTTTGCTTATATAAAATAAAGTGGGATAAAAATAGAGTAGAGTAATACAATAATGAATAGAATAGAATAGAATAGAATAGAATAGAATAGAATAGAATAGAATAGAATAGAATAGAATAGAATAGAATAGAATAGAATCTGTTTGCAAATGTTATTACATGTATCTGCAATAACTTCTTTGAATCAAATTATCTAATAATTTGGTAACAATGAAAGTCTTTGGAACTTTTATTATCTATGCATCTTATGTTCCACATCTGAAAAGACTGAGAGGAGGAATGCCAAATATTGGGTCTGCATCACTAAAATTCTTGCACAATGAAAATGTGCTCATATTAGTCAAGCAAAAGATACAGAAACATCCAGTTCTGATACCAACAAAATCAGCCCTTCCATTTGGCAGAGGCAATTGTGGCCTCAGTCTATAGATGCTGAGGGTCTATAAGTGGCCTTTTGATGCTAAAAGGCAAAATGGTGTCTTCACTTCTAACCTAGCCTGCTGTCCTTAGATGAAAAGGAGGATACTGACTGTTGCCTTGTCAATGTTGCAATAATATACAGCTAGCAATCCAGATGGCTTCTGGAGTTGTAATAACTTATATCTTTTTCAAAATCATATACAAAGCAACTACATACAGCACGGTAGTTGGAAAACCATCTCTGTACATCAAAATGAACGTATAAACTTTAACTCAGTAGAACTAAGTAGCTAAGTAAGTAAGATTTTATTTTGTTGTGAATGAAAATGTAAGAGTAGCCAAGGATGAAAAAGGAATCAAAATAATATAAAGCAGGGGTCCCCAACACCTGGTCCATGGACCAGTACTGGGCTGCGGAATGCCAGCAACCAGTCCGCACAAATAAGCAAAGCCCCATCCACAGGATGCAGGCAATACACAAAACCACGCACCCTCCAGGCCGTGGAAAAATCTCTCTCCGCAGAACTGGTCCCTGGTGCCCAAAATGTTGGGGACCTCTGATATAAAGAATTTGCTAAGATTGTTTTACTCCATAACTTTTGAGCCAAAAAAACACTAATATAGAATGGCTACCAAAAGTTTCTAATATGAAGACTACATATGTTCTATATGGTGCCTCTCTTGAGGAGAGTCCAGCTGAAGCTATATGCCATGCTTTCCCGAAAATAAGACCCAGCTTATTATTTATTTATTTTTTGCCTCCAAAAGAGCCACCGGGTCTTATTTTCAGGAAATGTCTTATCCCACTTCACCTCACATGGGTGGCACTGTCAGCCCCACCCAGCCAGCCCACTTCTTCTGCAGCCACTCGCCATCGCTTGCGCGTGTCGCCATTTCACTACCAGAGGCCTTGAAGAAATGCCTCTGTAGCTGAGAATCGAGCTCCAGATTGATGCACACGTCACTGCCCCCCCAGCCCCCAGGGGGCGCCACATGTATCAATCCGGAGCTCAGTTCTCGGCTGCAGAGGCCTTTCCTAAAGACATCTGACAGTGAAATACAGGCTGTGGAACTCCGCACGCATCAATCCAGAGCTCCATTTTCTGCTGCAGAGGCATTTCCTGAAGGCCTCTGACAGTGAAATGGAGGTTGGAGGTGACGCGTGCAAGTGGTAAAAGGCCGCAGAAGAAGAGGGCCAGTGTGATGAGGCAAGTGTCAGAGCATTGCTATAGGGGGCGAAACTTTGGCCCCCTCAGAGAGGGCGCGCAACTTGGGAGTCCTCCTGGATTCACGGCTGACCTTGGATGACCATCTGTCGGCCGTGACCAGGGGGGCGTTTTATCAGGTTCGCCTGATTCACCAGTTGCGGCCTTTTCTGGACCGGGACGCCTTACACACAGTCACTCATGCTCTTGTCACCTCCCG